CTAAGCTGTTTTGTCACTGACTATGAGGATGAGAGGCACATTTCTGAGAGGAGGAGGAAAAGGGGCAGTGGTGGGGGAAAGACAGTGATCTGGTTCCCAAGCTCTGGTTCCTCAAGTTGAGACACATCTTTATTTACTTCAAGTCATTCAAACTGCTTTTATCCTCACATGCTTAAGATTCAAGCAGCACCTTCTTGAAAGTTTTTCCAAGTGCAGCCTCTGGCCCACTGTGAGCAGAAAAGTTCTCCTTGTCCATTTTTGGATGCATTTCACAGATTAAGGGTGCCTTACCAGCAACTTCTCAGGGTTGTTACTGAAAGTTCCTAAATTTAGCCAGCCGAAAGAGTTTGTTTAATATTGTAATGTGGGCTGTAGTAAGAAATCTGTGCCACATACTACTTGGTAACTAGGGCCAGCTCTCTGTCTGTGTGCTTACAGTGTGGAGGAAGGGTGTTTGGGGTGGGGGGTGAGGGGCTTCTTGAAGCATCTCAACAATTGCTGTTATAATAATTGGAAGTTTGTGGAACTACTGTTAGGTTTAAATTGAGTGGAAATTTCATCCTTACATAATGGTTGTGTTGTTGCCAGTCTAATTACTGCTTAGATTTTGAGTTCTTTGTTAATCACCAAGCTATTTTTCCACTGGCGGAACTGAGGGAAATTGTATGAGTTGTGACTGAGGATAGATTCTGGTTGAAAGGACTTTCTACTAGCTTTATATATGCTTTAGTGATATGACTGAGTGCTAATGCATATGTCACTTAGAAGAAAAACTTGATTGTTTTGCCTGAATATTGCTTTTTTTAAAAAAAGTCCCTATAATTTATAAGTAAAAAATATTTTCTCAGATCCATTCACATAGCAGTAAACTGCATGATTTTTTTCTTAAAGCTGAGCTTAGTAAGTAGTATTTGTGTGTGTGTGTGTGTGGGGGGGTGTAATGTAATGTAGTTTCTTTTTGGTGAATATCTTGCTGAGTGAAATTAATCAGACAGATAAAGAATGAACTTTTTCATATAAGGCATATAAGAAATCAGTAAGGGAATAGCAAATGCCAAAAGGTGACAGAAAGTGAGAACTGATATTTATTCGGAAGTTTGGGAGTGGAGGGGGACGGTGAATGGGACACGAGGACAGTTGTGGAGGGAAGTGGACACTAGTGAAAGGTGTGGTAGTAGAGTGTGTCATGTATGGAAACCCTACTAATTTGTGAATCATGGTGCCTAAAACAAAAATAATTTAAAAAATTCCTCTCAATGCTCTTATTCTAAGGCCTGAATAATGGTAATAAAGGTTACCCCTAGGAAAATTCTGGGAATCCAGATGACTCTGTATTTTCTCTTGGGACATGCAAATTGAATTGGCTCAGCAGTGGGCAGAATTTATTGCAAAAATCACATCTTAATATGGAGGAAGCATATGAAGGCTTTCCTCACCCTCCTTTGATTTATTAAATTACACTCCCATTGTAGCTTCTGGTGAGAATTTACATAATTCTTGTGTCCTGTGATTTGTATCAAGATCTATTTTTCTGTTCTAATCTTTATCTTCAGGATGGAGCCCTGTGGTTCAAAGAGAATACTAAGTATTACTTCTATGTTGGATGCCAACTGGGTCTAAGGGTTACTGATGAATGCTTCAGTTCTTTTTTCGTGTTTCATTTTCTGTGACTTGGGGCAAATTCTTCCAGTTCTCACCTCCTCTTGCTTCCTGCCACTTCTCATTGCCTTTATCAACATTATGTGGTTAGTGAAGCAGATTGAAGGAATTTCTGGCTGGATTTTGCCCAGTTCCACTACCTAACCTTGGGTAAAGGACTGTTCTTCCTTATGTCTCATTATTCTCCTCTATATGATAGGACTAGGTTGCTATGAGAATGAAACTTTATTTTCAGTGGTGAATTAATGTTGCATATGTAGATGTTGACTTATAATGGTGCACTCCTGAAAACTTACATAATGTCAAATGCAGTACAACATCTGTGGGGGAGGGGAAGTCGGTATAAAATATTTGGCATGGGGTCTGACACACAGCAATGCATTTATAATTATAGTTATTTTATTATTGCTATTGAATTTTTTTATAATGACCCACAGACCCACAAATAAATTCTGATAAGATAAACACAAGCAATTTCTGTTTTGTAGAAGCATACACTTGAAATCAAGTATCCTTTCTGTGGTCTTGAACAGGGCTAACTGGATAGTATTTGGCAGATATATATATATATTATATATATTTTTTTCATCAAAGTTCAGAAAACCACAGGCTGGGAAGCTGTCAGTATGACCAGGCCTCAGAGATTCTTGACTAAGTAGGATGGACAGACTTTAGCTTAGGGTGGGTCATTGAGAAGATATGTTGGTGATTCATTCTTCCTATGAGCAATAACTAAGCATTTTAGTGATTCTTGTCCCATTGAGTTTATCTTTGGAAGATGGTGTCTATCCTGTTAACAGCAAGAATCTTGAGAGTCTTAACCTGAAAACATATAAGTTGTACTCTACTATTCATGTGACACAAACCCCAGCCAAAGAGACCTTTTATTTTATTTTATTCAGTCAATGTACAGAGTTGTTCATTATTGGGGTTCAGGCAGACAATGTTTCAACATCAGTCACTTCATGAGTATCCATTTCCCTCCACCAATGTGACCCCTCCCTCCTGCCACTTTGTCTCCCACCACCACTTTTTTTTCTTGACTTGTCTGCAGATTCCATGAGAACAGAGATTATAGATGGCATATTCTTCTGTATCCAGCACCTGGAACAGTACACAATAAAAATATTTATTGAATCCATGAGTGAATAAACAAATCAATGCATTGAAAGTATTTTTAGAAATTACCACTTGCAGTATCTTTAAACTTTTTTTGTTGGTGTGAGTGGGGTGGGGTGAACACCTGCAGTGCTCAGGACTTACTCCTGGTTCTAGGAATTCCTCTTGGTGGTGCTCTGGTGACCATATAGGATGCTGGGGATTGAACCTGGGTCAGCAACCGCAATGCAAATACCTTACTATTACTATTACTATTACTATTACTATTACTATTACTATTACTTACTATTACTATTGCTCTGACCCCAATACCTTTAAACTTTTCAAAGCCAGTCAGCATGGCTTTATTTGGTAGCCCCATGAAGAAAACCAATAACAGCAAATGGAAGGCACTTTCAGAAACTGGACTACACATTTCTTCCTTCCCCTTTGGCAGTCCTTGTGCTGGTGCTGTGAGGTCCAATTTGAAAGTCATGATGTGGTTCAGATTCTTTATTTGTATTGATGCCAGAAGTGCTGCCAAGGGAAGAAGAACAGCTCTTTCCTCTCCGTGCAGATAGAAATTTGCACAACCTCAGTATCGGCCACCTCACAAGTTTCATGAATATTAAGCAGCTTTTTTCCCTATAGTACAGCCCAAAGTGCTTGTTTATGTGTTGTACTGTTTCAGCATATTTCTCTTTTACAATTATAAATAGTCCTTAGAGCATCCCAGGAGAAATGGACAGAACAGCTGTGATCATGTCCATGTTATAGAAGACAAGATCAGCAAGATAGGTCAAATATGATGGTGTTTGGAGGATCATGGGGTGACAAGTATTGAACTCAGGCTTCCTGCATGCAAAGTATGAGCTCAACTACCTCTCTGGTCGTTGTACCTCTATTTTAAACAATTGCTACATTGTGATTACTGTCAGCAAAAATGTTGTGGCAACTTATTTTCTCTCCTTATGCAAGTCCCTGCAGAGTATCACCTATTTTTGCCTTTTGGCCCATAAATTCCCAAATACTGGTACTTTACAGAGCAGCTCACTGATTCTTTCAGTATGTAATTATCTGTTTCTATATGGCAACATTTTCCTTTTTATAGTTACTATAAATCAGATTTGTTTGGCTTTATTTTGGAGCCACACCTGGCATTGCTAAAGGATTACTCTTGGCTCTGTGCTCAAGGATCACTCCTGGCAGTGCTTGGGGAACTGGATGAGGTACTGAGGAATGAACCCTGTTTGGCCATATGCAAGACAAATGTCCTGCCCGCTGTGCTATCTCTCTGGCATCCAAGTCAGAGATTTAAAATTATGAAGAAACATTCTCATTTTAGCACTCAAATTTGTAAAAGTTATGAAGTAAAGAAGTGATTGATTTCATTTAACAATTGATTTAATACTTAACAGTGTATCTTTGTCCTGACATGGCCACTTATTATTTATGAGGTCTTAGTTAAATCCTCAAAGTCTCAGATTCTCCATCTGTAGAACAATGATAATAATAGTTCTTACCCAACAGAATTGTTGTGTAAATTATTTTAGATAATTTATTTGAATTGCTTAGTACATTGCCTGGTGCATAATTAATGCCTAATAACTTGTAATTAAAATTCTTTTTTAAGTTGATGAATGCAGATTTATTTTGCTTAAAAAAAGAATTTGGGGCTGGAGAGACAGTCCAGGGGTTAAGGCATTTAACTGGTGTTCCACTGAGCCCCTTGTTCAAATCCCTAGCACTATGCTTGGTCCTCCAAGCACCCCCCAGAGTCACTCCGGAGCACAGAATCAGGAATAGTCCCTGAGCACTGCCGGCTGTGCCCTTTCCTAACCAATCTGTCAGTAAAAAATTTTGAGAATTTTCTTTTGTGTGTGGGGAGGGAGTGGTTTGGGCCAGACCAGGCAGTGCTCTGCACTCCGAGGGCACCTGGGGGACCGTATGGGGGCTGGGGGTTGAATTGTCTCAGCCATGTTCAAAGCCAGCATCCTACTTGCTGTACTAGGAATTCGAGCTCCAGGAATGTTACATTTTTATGCTAAAACTCCACAAGTCATTCTGAGGCACACAGGCTTAAGGACAAGAAAATTACTGAAGTCTATAATGGTAGACGGAATTCATTTTTGGATTCCAAAAGTTGCCTACCAAGAAGTTGAAGAAGAGGGAATGTAATGGTTTCAGTGAATATGGAGGATGTTATAAATGCATCAAAATAAAGGTTTGTTTTTGTTTTCCAGGTCTACAACTCAAACAAAGACAGTCAGAGTGAAGGAAGTGAGTATGTTGCTTGAATATTTTTCTTTCTTTAATAATTTCTGTTTGTTCTTTTTTAAATGAAGGCACTGTGGTTTTCAAGTTTCAGGTCTGCAGTGTACCAATGCCACCCTCACCACAAGTGTGCGCGTCCCTCCACCAGTGTCTTTCTCCAGATTCCCTCCCCCAGTCTCCCTCCTTGACAGGCACTTTTTTTTAATTTTTATTTTTTATAATTTATTTCTTTATTGAATCACTGTGGGAAAAGTTACAGAGCTTTCAGGTTTAGGTCTCAGTCATGTAAATATCAAACACATTTCCCTTTACCAATACTTATTTTTAATTGCGAACCCCAATAGAACCCCACCTCCCACCCCTCCCAATTCCTGTGAGGCAGATGAGTTCTAGTTAATACTCTATCTACTTTGACTAGATACATTGTTTCGATAGAAGATGCACAATTATTGTTTAGAGTTTACGACCCCCCCCCCCCAATCAGACATGCGGAAACAGCGTTGTGAAATTATTTGCTTTCTACAACTTGGTTTAAGAATAAAATGATGTCGCGTGGCCGCTATTGCGGTTTTGGATTTCTGCTATTTTACTTACTAACCCTGGAAGAATTTCTATTAAAAGTTAGATAGTTAAGAGATTGGTTTCTGTGCTCTGGAGTCGTGGCCATGCTGGAGAGCCGCTCGTGGGGGGCAGCTGGCGACCTCGGTCGGGCCTGAAGGACGGCCCATTACGCCCCCCTTCCCATGAGGTCCCTGCCGCTCCCACCACCCCCGGCTCAAACCTGCTGTCCACAAGGCTCCCGTGAGGCCGCCATCTTTCTTTCCAGAGAGGAGCTGGCTGGTGGGTCAACACCCTTTCCCCTCCGGGCAGGCATGCTGGCGCGGTTTAACACATAGTCCATTTGCTTTTCTGCTCCAAGCGGGTGGCTCTCTGTGCTAAGTCCTTGTGCCTCCAGGGCCGTGGCCATGCCGGAGAGCCGCTCGTGGGGGGCAGCTGGCAACCTCGGTCGGGCATGAAGGACGGTGACAGGCACTTTTGTAAGTTTGGTTGCTATAGTTTGGATCTTCTGGTTTTCACTGTTGGTGACTCTGTGGTTTAGATGTGTGGATCCACCACTCCCTGCCCCCACGAAACCGCCCAAAGCCTCTGGCCCCTGCCCTTATTACTTCCTGCTGCTGCTTTTCTAGTTTTCTTTCCTTCTCCACCCTCCTTCCTATGCTGTAGGTCAAGGATGATTCAGGTATCACCCTTTTAAAACCTTGCATTCCCTTAAAGTCCTGTTATTTTGTAGGCCACAGAGAAGTGAGACAGCCCTGTCAGTTTGTCTTTTTATGACTTAACATTATATCCTGCAGTTTCATGAGAATTACAACAAATGGCAAGATTTCTTTGTTCTTTGTGGCGGCTTGGATAATTTTCTATAGTTGGGGATGGAATTCGGATTCCAAAAGTTGTTATTCCAAAGAGGAACCACCAGGAGGTGCTGTTGGCTTGTTGGGTCTACTCTATTTCCCGGGAGTCTTCTACACGTACTTCCCATAATACCCCAAGATATTTCCTGAGCCTGACTGTTTGCAATAATTCTGCATATTTTACAAAGCAATTTCCTATACATTTTCTTCAGTAAATCTTAAATTGTCTTATGAATGTAGCTCTCATCACCATTCTAAAGTCTGAGCCTGGGACCAGGGATGTAAATCAGGTCCATAGCATGCTTCCCATATCTGAGATCCTGGGTTTGATGTGTGATCCCACATACATACATACGAAAACAACAATAGCACATGCAAAGTTCCCGTTCCTTCTTTGTCCCACCCCCTGGCAATTAAAACCATAGCAAATCAGACACTTGCTTGAATAATTTCTTGCTCCCCAAATGCCCTGTTCTGGGGGAAAGCAGAATTGACTTTGCCTCTCTTCGTTGTCCTGCTCAAAAGTTTGGAGAGACAATAACTATCTTCCTGATTGCTTAGTAACTCAGTGCTCTTTGGAGAGGAAGGAGTGGAGATGGTGACCTCTGTAATCAAATAATCCTGTTTGATTGAAATGACTCTGGGCAGCCTCTGAAGAGTATACAGCACATTTCCCTTCTCCTGGCTCTAAGCTTTCTGGTTAATCATGATTTCCAAGGGCACCTGTAACCTTGTAAAGATGATGGGATTAAAATGAAAGTGCAACTGCCGAGTGTTTGGGCTGATTATCTCCCTGGTGCCTAGGAGCAAAAACAAATGCCTTTCAGGTTGCTACAAGAATACAGAGGAAATCCTGTTCCCTGGCTCCAGATTGGCTTTGTAAAATCCATGTGGAAGAAAAATTCAAAGAGAACCTTCTCATGAATTCCAGCATCATTAGAAAAATCAGCAGAATATTCCTTCGTCATGTAGACTAAGGAATCAGATCAAAGGATTTCACCTTTTCACTGAGATCCTTTAGGGGACATACTTTTATCCCCCCCCCCCCAATTTACACTTTTTATAATAAGTAATTTAGAATGATCCCTATAAATAGGTAAGAGGCCTTAAAAGGGGATTTCTTTTCAACTTGTCAATATTCAAGGGCACAAGTAAACATCCTTCCCCCTCCTTCATACTGCATTATTTTTAAATTTTATCTGCGGCTCACATGGGCTAAAATAACAATGTTAGAAACAAAAGGAATAGTAAAAATGAGAAATGAAACATTGTGGTACAATCATTTACGTACAAGCATAAAGATTAAAGTATAAAATACAATAGGGTAGGAAGACTAAGAATTAACTGGTAAAATAGCCGTCTTTAGAGCCCCAGAAAAGGAGGAATGCATGAAAATCTTCAGGATAATATTTGTAGGTTGATAAACCTCCACACTGTCTTTTTAGTCATGTCATTGACTCACTGTTATGAAGATTCTGATTCCCAGGAAAGATAGTGTAAAATTGGTATAGCATGGACTCACCCATGAAACAGCATACTTGATAGACAGTTCCAAGTGTACGGCACTGGCCCTGCCATTCTTTAAGGCCTTTGTGAAGTTGTTTTTTCTTTAATTAAAAGTTTTTCCTTTGAACCAATGACTTGTCCTAAAACAATAGACGTCAGTCAAAAGATGTTTGTGCAACAAAGAAATTATTGGAGCATTGGTAATAATAGCAAAGAATTGGAGACAAATAAAAATGTTCAACAGGAAGCTGATTAAAAATATTATAGAATACTAAGAAAATTTTAAAAGAATAGGGGTGGAGATAGCACAGGGCATAAAGCACTTGCCTTGCATGCAACTGATCTGGGTTTGATCTTCTGTAGCACCTAGAGTCCCACAGGTCCTTCGAGGAGTGATTCCTGACTACATTCAGGAGTAAGCCCTGTGCACAGTTGGGGGTGGTCCAAGAAACAACTAAATCCATCAATAAAAAGAACGGGGAAGTGCAGACAAGGCAAGCAAGGGTTAAACTGCTTGCCTTGCATCCGGCAGATTCTCAATCAGTCCTCTGTACCGTGCTCCTCTGAGCACTACTATGATTTCTGATCATAGAGCCAGGAGTAATCCCCGAGCACCTCTGAGTATATCCCCCAAACAAAAAACAAAAACATAAGAGGGTGTCAGTGGATGCTCATTTGTAGAGCACCTACTTGGCAGGCTTGAGTCTGAGAGTTTCTTTCCCAGCACCACTCCTCATGCCAAGCACCATGCCCCCAGCTCTGCTGTTTGTGTTCTGCCCACAGGGAAGTGCTGATTCTGGTGCCTCAGAGCTTAGGCTCATCACCCCTCCCTGTTGGATCAGGTCACAGTTATAACAAATGGGAAGGAAGTGGGGGATCATTTTTTAAAAAGGAACATCTACCTCCCTTGTATAAAAGTGTGAAAGTACATAAAATAAAGAATAAAAAAGAGAGCAAGGTAAATATACATAACTAGTGCCCACAGTATATTGTTAATTGAGCATTTGGAATATCAGGTTAGAGAACAGTAAAGTTGATGAAATAAATGATTATACTCATCTAGATAGGTAGTGAAAAGTCTGGAGGTACAGGTTCATCTTCAAACTTCTGATCAGTATAGATGGTTGATTTTTAGGAGACATTGACTTTACTTAAATACCTCTCTGCACTTTGCATTATCAGCAGAAAACCTACATTTTGTATTAATAATAGCTATTGATGATAGTTGGAAATAATCACTCTGGACAAGAACTGAGTGTTGAAAGTAGGTAACATGATAACCTCTCAGTACCAGTATTGCAAAACATAATGTCCAGAAGGAAAGAGAGAGAAAGAAGAAAAGTGCCTGCCGTAGAGGCAGGCTGGGTGGGTGGGGTAGGGGGGCAGGCAGGAGGGGAGGGTGGTAGGACAGAAACTGGGAACATTGGTTGTGGTAAAAGTACACTGGTGTAGGGATGGGTGTTGGAACATTGTATGACTGAAACGCAAGCATGAACAACTTTGTAAATGTGTATCTCACAGTAATTCAATTTTAAAAAAACTATTAATAGCATTTATTGACCACGAAGTTTCAAAGATATTTTATGCACATTTAAATATGTAATTGCTTGCAACTCAGAGAAGAGACACTCCTGACCTACATTTTTAGATTAAGAAATTGAAGCTAGTGAGATCAAGGGACTCGGCTTAGTATCTGAGTTCTTCTACTTCTGAACTCCCCCACCTCTGCCTTTTTAGAAAAGCTACAATGGTATTCTAGCTGATTAGGAAAAAAATAGTACCAAAAATGCACTATGAGTCGCTAATGTTTCTTCGGTTCCTTGCCCTTTAGTTTAGCAAGCAGGTGAGCAAAAAAACATTAAAATGTTGATCAAAATGGATTAAATTATTAAAATATGGGGAAGCAGTTTAAACAAGACAGGTTTTCCTGGGGTATTTTTTTATTAGAAGTTTCATTTGCTCATTTACAAGCTGATATAATCAGTCTCATTGTCAGTTAGTGTTTCCTCACCTCTTCTCATGTATTCCTGTTTTAACGTAAAGCCTCAGCTCCCCTGCTTCTTTGAATTGGTTGTACTTTTATTATCT